CTATCCCAGCTGGACCCAGGACATGTCCTAACAGCAGCTGTAACATTATGGGTCTCTCAGCACATCCAGCTTCAGGAATCCAGAAGAAAAAAAATCCCATCTGTTTCCAGCAGCGTGAAGGCTGGAAGTTTCCCCTCTCTCTCGCATCCTGCATTCTCCAGCCAGCAGAGCGCCACGGGAGCAAGGACCTGCCTGGAAACTCTTCTGCAGATCACCTCTTCTCCTGGGAATTGCAGAGGCCCTCAGGCCAAAACCATCACAGGACAATGTTTGACCCTTGTTGCCTTTCTCCATCAGGGTCATGGGGTGCCTTTCACGTTTTTCAGTATTGTGGGTTTCCTCCTTTCCTCCACAGCACAGCAAGGGAGTTTCCAGCACTTGCACAACTCACCCAGGCCTCCCCTGTTCCTAAACGACCAGGACAGCTCAGGGGGACCGACGCAGTTTTGTTTCCTCATGAAACAAGAAGCTGTAGCAGCAGACTGTCGTAATGGTCTTGACATCAAAATAGAAACAGGCAAAGAAGCAGAAATCAAGTACCCTGGTCTGTGAGCACACATCCTCCCTGCACCAAAAGGAGGGAAGAGGCAGGAGTGTGTCCCCTCCGAACCCACCCAAGCTAGTCCCAGGGTGGAGAGGGCTGCAGGAACAGGCGTCTCCACACTCCAGAAGATGGGTGCACCAACAAGGGCACGAGGTCCCACGAGAGGTCCTGCTGCCCCGGTACTCTACCTCCAGCAGCATCCAAAAGCACGGCCAGGGAAAAGGGAGTCTAGCAGAAGCCTGCAGTGATATATCCCGAAAATCCTCTGCCAGCAATTTGCAGCCAGGCACTTCCTACACCACAGGTGTTGTTTTCAGTCTGGCCTTTCAAAAACAGGCTTTATGCCACTTTTTTTTTTTTTTCCCCTAGCAGTTTAAAAGTAAGTTAATTTCAACACTAATTTTTTCAAAGGATAAAAAGAAAAAAGCACACAAAGTTTTTGTGTAACTTGAGGCTATTTTGGGTCGTGCTGGATTTGCCGCACTCTCTCTGTTCCACACATGCTTCTTCCACTCGCATGTGGAGGACACACTCAGCACATTTTAATCAGCAAATACTGACAGAACATGCACATTTTATCAGACAAGGATCTCCAATTCATGCAATACATTTCAAGAGAGACAAGTCCTAGAAGCCTAGCAACAAAGTCATTCAACGTCAAACAGGTCTAGAAGACTTCTGCAGCTCTGAGGCAGAAAAGCACCGGAGCATGGTTTGGGATGCTGGCCTGAGAGCAGAGCATGCTATGACTATAGAGCAGACAGTCTGGCTTGTGCAAAAAGGACTTTGGTGGAGCTGAACCAATATCTTGGTGGCTTACCATGAAAAGACAGCCCCCAGCCTTCCACTGAGCCTAACTCCCCCAGTCGTGCTTTACACCATATAGCCCTTGACTGTTGCAATTGCATACCCAGAAACGCAGCCACATCCACATGCCAGGCAGCTGGAATCTTCACCTCTCTAACCCTAGGCTAGTTTGTTGTTCATACCTAGGCTTTGACTGGAGTTGTGAAATAGGTGGCCCAGTCTTGTTGTATGCTAGCCGGTATGTACCCTGTCCTGCCCTGAGCAGGAGAGGCGTTTGGAGTCCAGCACTAATCCTGCCCTTAGACAGGCAACCCGGGAGGAGGAGACAGCAGCATCTCAAGGGAGAAACCTGCAGACTGCTTAGAAAGAGGAAGCAAGAGCAAGGCAAGCCCTTGGGGGACACACAGCTTCATGACCCAATGGAACGGCCCCTCACCATCCCTCCTATTTTCCATGTGTGCTACCCATGGGAAAAGATCCTGCGAGCTGCCAAAGGCCAGGCAGCATGCAGCAACTGCGGCACGGCCAGGCCCTCCAGCAGGTTACATGCTCCATCCCCAGGCCTCAGATTGCCCTAGGATGGAGGAAAAGGAGCCCACAAGAAGCATCTGCCCTGCCGTTTCTAAGGGCCCTGATCCTCCCGGGTAATGTCATGGCCTCTTCCACCACCGCCTGCTCCCCAGGCTCTAAGTCAGGTCACAGCACGCACCAGACCTTCCAGCCAGACCCCAGGTTCACAACCCGAACCAGCCACAGCCTGCCTGCAGGGCAGCTTCTATCCCATCACACCTTGGAGGGACATTACCCAGTTAGAAACACCTTAAACCATCTACCACAGCAGTATCAAGGCTCTGCCTCTGTCCAGCCCACACTGGTTGTCCTGATGAGCAGAGCTGACCACATTTCACTCATCCGAGCCCCCCATGACGGCTGAATGACACGAGTGTCCAAGACTCCACATGCTGCCAAGCTCTTGTCACCTAACTGTGGCCCAACCTTTCTTTTCTCTAAAGGAGTTAAAAATGCTTTGTGTCAAGACACAAAGGCTCCCCACTACTCAAGTGGTCCTACACTCCTGCTCCAGGTCACTACTACCAGTCCCATCAGTCTTAGGAGAACAGGGTGTCTTACTCTTGGCAAAACTCTCCAGCTCCCTGATTCTCAATCAAGCACAGCACATCATCCACATCACGTGTGGATAGGGGATCAGCCAGGAACCCAGAAGTCAAACTGGAAGAGGTCTGAGTGAAGACCTCAGTTGCTGGTGGAACCAGCTGCATCCCCCTTACCCAAACACCTGCTCAAAGCCTGCCCCAGCACTGAGAGGCACGCACACATCTGTCCCAGGAGGAAGTCTTTACCTCTCATGGTGCAGGACATCAGACAGGCATGTCAGACCACCTCCTGTGCGAGGACAGGCTGAGAGAGTCGGGGGGTGTTCAGCCTGGAGAAGAGAAGGCTCCAGGGAGACCTTAGAGCAGCTTCCAGTGCTGAAAGGGGGCTAAAGGAGAGATGGGGGGGGGACTTTTTGCAAGGGCATATAGCAACAGGACAAGGGGTAATGGATTTAAACTGGAAGAGGGCAGATTGAGATGAGATCTGAGGAAGAAATGTTTTCCTGTGCGGGTGGTGAGGCAGTGGCCCAGGTTGCCCAGAGAAGCGGTGGATGCCCCATCCCTGGAAGGGTTCAAGGCCAGGCTGGATGAGGCTTTGGGCAACCTGGGCTAGTGGGAGGTGTCCCTGCCCATGGCAGGGGGTGGGACTCAATGATCTTGAAGGTCCCTTCCAACCCAAACCAGTCTGTGATTCTATGTCATGGTTTAATGGCTGAAACACCACAGCAGTGACTGCTCTCAGAACACCAAATATGTTGCAATGCTGGTCTGATTTCTTTTCATGGTCCTCTCTCCCAGTGGTGGTACCAGGTGTGGCAGCTTGACACCTTTTCCTCTTCCCTTTACGACCTGCTCAGCCCTCGCTCCACAGGCAGTGGCACAGAGCTAGCTGTGCTCCCCCGCCTACTGCAGAGGCCAGGGCTCACCCTGTCGTCTGCTGCAGGATCACACCCACTGCTCAGTGGGAGCGAGGAGCAATGAGAACATCGTTGCCTCCCACCGTCTGATCAGAAGAGACAGAGAATCACAAACAGCTGCGAGCTGATGAGTCACACAGACATATGGTAGCTAGTACTTTTTAAAATACTCCAGAACAAAAAAAATTAGGTACAGGGGAAAAAAATAGATTCTCAACCCGTGTGAGTCCACAGTCTCCACTGAGGCTGTCGAGCCACCGATATGCAGCAGCTGAGACTGACATGGTAGGTTATGAGAAGTTGTTAAACCAAGTAATTGTGGCAGAGCTTTGCATTTTCAGTGAGGCTCCACCCCATCACTGCTGTGGGAAGAGTCAGGATCACACCCCAGGCAGGCTCATTTCTAACTCCAGTCACTGAGGACTGGAGATAATGCACTTCACTGGCTTCCTCTCTGAAGGGAGACACAAGGGTTCTCCAAATTGCAAGGGAAATATCTTGGTGAAAACAGCATTACACATCCAGGGTCCAGCCCCTCTCACCTGTTCAGCAAGCATCTTTTACTCACATTGAATTCACATGAACCAACTTCCCCATTTGCAAGCTAAACTGAGAATTTAATTCCTTCAGCATTTATTTGTGGGTCAGCTGCTGGGCAATGCTGCAAGTGTCCTTTGTCAATTCAGATTCACCACCTCTCTAAAGCTATTTTCAAGCTACAAAAGGACAAGAGGGATGCTAAGTTTGGGGTCTACAGAACCTGACTTGCCAGAAAGAGCAGAACAGCATCCAGTCAGATGGTGAGGACAAGGTCCTCCCAGCAGCTGTTTGAGCCGTGATCAGTGCCATTGGGTTCTTCCCAAGTACATTGCCTACAATTCTGGATCTGCTAACTGTGGCTTAGATCTGGGACTATTTTTAGAAGCTTGAATAAAACACAGTCATCCAGTGGAGTGCTTTTCATTTCCCATTTTAGACTTTACATCCTTATTCCAAATGTAATCATGGGCTGAGCTGTTCAAGGTCAACTCGTATTTCAGTCACCACATCACCCCGTTCCACCTTTGCCCTGATGTCTCACCAGACTTGACCCAAGAGCCAGTCTCTGTTAAGTAGAGCATGAAAGGTCTGCACCCCCTACTCACCCGTCTTTGGAGAGGTGATGCCGGAAGAAGTCATTGGCGGCCAGTTTGATAGCCTTTTCAGGTGTCACTAGAGTCAGGTTCACTGCAGCCCCTGGGCAAGGCAAAGAGGAGAACGAGAGCAAAGGAACCATTAACTGGATCATTCAGGAATGTGTTGTAACTCCTGCTCAAAACCAAGGACTGATGAAAGAGTGCTCCCAATGCACCAAAGGGGTTTAAAAACATGAAACACCACTGGAAATTAATAGGATTTCTGCCTCCAAACACCTCGGGTTTTTGAAAACATTCCCTGATGTGTTTCCACTCCATTTGCAATATGTTTTTTGGAATTTCTTTAGCTTCACTACTACCTCCCACCACGCATACATGCATCCACTTCTTTCATCCAAGGATGCACTCCTATGAATCCAGAAGGATCAGACCTCAAGAAAGGAGCACAAGTTGGATTAATAACCAGTTCCAACTCCTTTGCAAGTATTTTCTGATCCTGTAAAGCAAAAGCCCCCCTGTCCCACCTTCCTGCTAGTGTACCTGCCCCAACACCACAAAGAGCAAAGCAGCTCGCTTACCAGGCAGCCCAGAACCAGCAGAGCCATCAGAAGACCTGGAAGCCGGTTGAAGTCAACTGGCTCATCTGCTCAGAAGTCAGACAGATCTAGACCAACCCTCGGAGTTAAGTGGCTTCCCCTGTGTATCACCACTGGGTGTCACCCTCAGAACAGCCACCATTGACGTGGCTTTTTGTCCACCACAAGCTGCAGCACACAGAAATTCCCCTTCCAGCACCGTGGCCAGGCTTGCTGGGGGACCTGGTGTGTAAACAAGCCTTGGCTCCCCACCGCCCGCTGGAATGCCCTTTTGTCAGGAGCAACAAGCAGCAAATCCTTGCATTGTGCCTGCCACAATGACAAGTCCGGCTGCTGCGGGCCGTGGACACATCGCATTAGTGCAACACAAGCGGCTGGGAGGCAGCTTTTGAGCTGTCCTGGGGGAAACAGGGTAAGGGGAAGGCCAGTCCCTTCTGAGCATACAGGGTTTTGCACTATTCAATTCATGTTCCAGAATATTCTCCTCCCTTTAAATCTCATGGCTCAAAAAGTCCTGCAGTGGATGACCACAAGCTCTCCCTGCCTGCACACTGAGCTCCAAGCCCTCTAGAGAGCTTCACATGAGACTTGTTGATGGCTTATGAACACCTCTGCAAGGACAAACACAAATACCAGAGTACACCTTTTGCAGTTATGCTTGCTGTAGAGATGTAAACAACTTGTCCCAAAGCTCCGTTTTCCAAAGAGAAGCAGACAGAGAAGCCTGCACTCCCGCTAGGCTCCGCAGACCCAGCAGGGTTCATTTTCAGGAGGTCTGAACACAAGTTGACAGGAGCTATAAGGGCTCAACACACCTAAAGAAAGGCGACTCCATCCTCTGTTCCTCAGGATGGGCCCTCCCTCCAAAAGTTCTTAAAGAACTCCTAAATTAGACATGGAAGTGCACAGGTTTAGGGGGACTTTCCTCAGATTAGGAAGCAAAGTTGCATCTGGACTTCTGGGACCAGTACAACTGGGACCAGGAAACAGGAAACCTTGGCTCTGCTCAAAGGACACATCTCTGGCACGGGGGAAATCGCAGCACAAAAACAGGCAGCCTTTGCTGGGCAGCCCAACACATTTTCCCCTCTTCTGACTGCCAGGCTCAGACTTTGCAGAAAATCCAGAGTAACGCTGCCTCACAGCAAGCTAAACCAATGCATTCATTCCATAGTGGCCATGGCATCCAACAAATGCCACCATCTTTTAGAGGAGTCAAATTAACCAGCCAGGGAGCAGGGCAGCCCTCGCACACTCCTGGATTTTTGCAAACTTCGAAGTGTACCAGCGATCACACTGCTTCAAGTTTGATATGCTTCCTACATGTTACATTCCCCCACCATGGCTCTTGCAAGCCACATACATGACGCTCATGTGTTACCTCCACTTGTTGATGTCAATCATATCAGGATCTAGAAAGCAAATCCACACAGCCTGATTGTGAAGTGGAAGTGGCTACCCGTGAAGGGTTTCCTCAAATGCCAAGTTGAGGACAGCTCCATTCCTAATGGCTAGAAAGTGAAACAACTGGACATGACGGAAATGCAGCATGAACCACCATTTCCTTGGAAAAACAATGAGAGAAGGAAAAAAGACTAAACCTGCTAGTCTAAAACCAGGGCAAAGGGTTCACTGAAAGAAAGAAAAACTCCAAACCATCCAGCAAGAAACGTAGGTGAGAGGTATGCTTCCACATGCTGCCCTCCTCCAGCAGCCAAGAGGCTTTCACAGCAATTTCTCCTTCCATTGCAAATAAAGCAGAAGGTAAAACCACACAATATACAGAGGAAAGTTAATGAACCTGGGTTTTCTCCTACATCTTTGATATTTTCAGTAAAGCTGCTTAGGAGAGAACGGATAATCCCTGTCCTCAATAATCCGTAACAGCTTCAATTCACTGGAGGAGGAGAAATCAGATGCCTCAGCTGCTGGCTGTATGCTTTCCACAGCATTTTCTACCTTTTTACAAAGTCTCACAGGTCTTCAATTCTAGCTATGTCAATGACTATTTCCCTAATTAAAGTTAACCCTGGCATATAGGCAACACCACCTGTACCAGAAGCGGTGACAGACAAATAGAATGCAAAAATACATTGCAATCATCAAAAACCAGAAAGTATTTTGAAAAGAAGTACGGAAGCACTACAAAGAACAAAATCAAGTAGAGGCAAAACCAGTTATTTGCCAACTGAACTTGTAAGTGCCCTCTTCTCACCGAGCCTTGGGTTTTGTTATTATAAAATATTTCTCATAGAATCCCTTCTATACCACCAGCAACCCACATAACAGGGGGATTGAGCCATGCCCAGTGCAGCACTGGTGCATGAGGGCAGTACCAGTAGAGGCCAGGGAAGGCGGCCACACTGCTGTAGCTAAACTGCAACCACCCTCTGAACAGTGCCACCAGTAAACGGGCATTTCCCCAGCCTGATCCAGGCCTTTGGCTCCCACCAGGTAGGCTGAACAGCTGCTCTGCAAACAGCAGTGGGATCTCCAGGACGCATGCTGGGATCTATGGGTGGCTTCCGGATGGACCGTAGCAGGGAGCAGAGAGAGGACCTCTCCAAGGTCCCTTTCCACTGGTGTCCACATGGCCCAGAAGCCCACAGATTTGTTTGCTTGGCATCGGAAGCCAGCACACCGACAGCCTTGAGCACAGCCAGGGCCAGACAGCACCACCCAGCTCGAAGGCACTGCTGCTACCTAGATGTCACAGAAAATACATGAGAAAAAAAAAAATCTCCTCTTCTTCCTCCCCGCAAAAAACCCCAAGGATCCTTGTAATTTTGGGGGAAGAACTTGAGAGAAATATTGGGACTGCCTTACACATCACACAATTCACACAGAACAAAGACTGTGCCTGCACTTACCCCATAAGAGATGATTTGCAGGTGAGCATCCTACAGGCTCAAGCCTCTCTCCTGTCTGCACTGAGGAACTCTGATCCCCACACGAAGGAGACACAAAGTCACCCCATGGGAATGCCTGCGCCCAGACAGACCCTTTCTCTGCTCCAGAGGTCAAGCACCCTGCAGGGACAACTGACGTGGCTGGGACTCCTCCATGGGGCACAGCAGCTGCCACTTCAGCACGTTAACATATAATCCTCCCCGTTTCAGCTTAAAGGCTGAAAATAAAGCTTGTGAGTCATACAGCAACTTCTGCGGGGGAAACTGGCACAGATGGAGGGAGCAGGAACCAATCCCACCATGTGATTTCCATCTTCCCCTGCCTGCAAGGCTGAGCCGTCTCTTTACCTTCTTCCCATAAAAGTACTCACATCCATCACGGATCTTGGATGTACTTTACCTGCCCATCATCTCCCCAAGAGGGAGGCAAGGGCTGCTAACGTCAGCTCACAGCACAGAGACCAGGATTGCTGTACTAGGAGGACTCACCTTTGCACCCTGGCTGTGCTGAAATATCTATGAACTGCTGGAAGGAGCTGCAGCTATCCACCAAAGCCCTCTCCAGACCCAGCTCCCCATTTAATAGTCAGACAAGTAAATTCAAGCCGCTATCAGCTCCCTGAACACAGGGACGAAGCTGAGCAGACTCACTATGGCTGGGAAAAGCAAGAGGTACGCAAAACCCTCTGCACCCTTTGAGACTTCTGCCTGGGAGTGAAAAGTGGCCTGGGGATGCACATCCCCTCTAGCACCTGACACCTTACAGGACTGAGCTGTGTCTCCCAAAAGCCCTGATGTGAGTTTCCACAACCAGCTTCTTCCTTCTGTTCCCCAGCAAGCAGCCTCCCACTGCTTACTTACAGCCAAAGTTACCGCAGGCTCCGTTCCTGGCTAGGAACACACAAAGCAGCTGGCTTCTGGGAAAAATCAAGTGGGAACACGTCGCTGCGAGCACTGAAGATGGAGCTTGCCAGGGCTCCTCACGGTTGTTTGTCTTGTTGCCTGCTCCCAGGAAAGCTGGCAAAGAGCAGCCAATCCATCCCCGGCATGCACCCCACTCCCCCGAAACACCCACCAGCACGTTGGGCAAGAGACAAGAGCCAGTGCCTGCTCCCAGGATGGCTGCCCTCCGTGTCCACGTTTCCCTGGCAGCCAGGGAAGAAGGGGCAAGGAACGGCACTGCTGCCAACAGCGAGGCACCAGCATCTCCGGGCTCCCGCTTGAAAAAACAAAGAGCAAGGACTCAATCAAAGCAGTACTTTTAATCAGGCTTTATCAGCGAAAGAGGGCCACAAAGAATGCTATCTGAACACCTCGGAGATAAAAACCTGCATATTCAGGCAATAAAACGAGTCTATAAAATGAACCAGAGCTCAGCTAACCCAGCTGGACTGTGCTGAAAGCCAAGAAGTTATTCCACATTTTCCTCTGCTACGAGTACAGTCAGAATTTGGCCTGCTGTTCCTCTCTCCTTAAAAATCTTTAAAAACTTTCAAGGAGGCTGTGTTTGAACTAGAAAAGGTATAATGTCAACTGAGGAACTTGCTGCTGTGACAGACAGCCTAAGCCGAGGAGCCAGGAGCTTTCTGGCAGGTCAGCACACAGCGACCAAACAGCTGAAGCTCCACCATGAGCCAACCTCTGATCTTCTTACCACCCCAAGCGAGTTTTTTCTAGGGGCAGGTTATTTTTAAATTTTTATTTTAATTGCAGCGTGTCTTAATCCTTGAACAAAGCACTCAGGCATGCTTGAGAGACAGCTAGTTTTGGAGACAGGCTATCAACTCGATGGGACAGCAGGCATTACCACGTTGGTGGTGGGCTTTGACATAAATTCAATCAACCACAAAGTAGGACACTTCAAGAGGTTTGCTGCTGCCCCTCTGACAGAAATTACCATGCCCAAGCTGGGAAACATACACACACAGTCCAGCAGCTTCACTTAAACTGCTAGCAAAGATGAACTTCAGTAAACGGTAAGGTTTAACACCAAAACAGCCCCAGGGAGGACTCAAGCCCTCAATGGTGGGGAGCTGGCAGACACCTAGCATGGAGGAGTTTATTTTCAGAAACAGCCGCACCTTTCAACATCTTAGGATATTGCTAGGTTATTGCTTTATAAGCCAGATAATATGGGCTTTTCCTCCCACTCACACACCAGTGCTTCCAACACAAAAGCCGTGCTGTGCTTGACTCAGCTTTACTCACCTCTATACATGCCAAAGTAGCCTTCAGAGCGAATCGTTTTAATGAGGCAGTCAGACCTGCAAACAAAAGAGAGAGAAACCACAGGAGCTCAAAGGTGGGTGAGAGCAGAGAAAAACAAACCAAATCTCTGGGAGTGGTTTTCATTTATGATCTGTCAGCAAAAGCTGGAGCTGAGAAGGGAACCGCATCAGTCGCTGAATGTGCCATTGTTCAGAGCTGAGCCCAATTCCAGACCCTAATTCACGGGGGCTTTGAAATCCCTGGCTCGCCCTGCACGCACTGTCTGCTTTCTAGAAACACAAAAGGGAAAAAGTATCACTGCGACGGCTGCTTAACCAGGGTCTCCTGTGGCAAATGTGCACGAGATTCTCTAACAAGCAGACCCCGTGCGCATGTTTATAAATCAGCTCTGGAAGGGAAATAAGAGCAGCCAAAATCCTCACTGCTGACTTGCTTGACTTACTCCGTGGAATTCGACACAAGGCACGCAAACACTAGATTGATCACCTGAGCTCTCAGTCAGCTGTGACCTCCCGTGCGGATTAAAGCACTTTCAACACACTGGGTCCTGCAGCCAGCAGCGAGCGCTCAGGCTCTGCCTTGGGGAGAGCGCAGCAGGGTGCCGCAGAGGTCGGCTCCAAGGGGAGAACTGTCCCCTTCTTTGCTTCAGCTACATTTACCGCAAATGGGAAAACTGGGCAGGTGCTGGAATGGCTGAAAGCCTGTTGAAGGCACGGACACACACCTAAAAAATCCCAAGGTACAGTTCAGGAGGGCAGCGCAGACCCCCCTGGCAGAGCTTCCATCTCTGGACCACAGCTGCACGAAATCCAGACACCGGCCAAAGGCTGCTTTGGGGTCTTTGGGAAAGGACAGGTACTTGCAGTGGCAACAGGAGAAGGGAGAGGTTCGCATACATGCACGCATGCATAATTAAGGAACAAAAGGCTCATTTAAGTAGTAATAAGGGAAGTGTAGCTGATGAAAGCAAGAATACATTTCTAAGAGATTTGGCAACAGAAAGAGTAAACTTCATCTCTGCTCTGTAGTAGTGCTGAGATGGGAGAGAAGGAAATATGGAGTTCCCTCGAGGGCTTTACGGCCCTGCTTGGCTACAGACCTTCCTAGAGTAGCCCGTGTTATTTGTGAAGAGCCCACCCTGCATTGCTGTCAGTTGCGGCAATGAGTTTTCCCTCTCTGCTGGGACTCTCCACACCCTTCAGGACCTTGTCTTTCACAAGGAAACACACTCTGCTTCAAATCCTCCCGGGCAGGAAAGAAGAAAATATCAGTGTGGAGGAGCAGGTAACGCTACTTCTGAACAAAGCAGCAGGAGGACAGGACACACATCATCAGCCCCAGTCTGTTCTCCCCCCTCAGTGACAGCAGTACTTTTGGAAAACTAAGGCCTGACTCTGGTTACTAGGATAAAGCATCTTGTGCTGAGTGTGGTGCACATTCTCCCAGCAGATAAACGGCCCCAAGCATTCCACACAAATCCCAGGGGAATTTGGTGGGCTGGATAGATTAACAGCTTCTTTTCCTACAGCCTGCAGCACTCAATTTTTTTTGGACGTAGGGACTGCTGGGGTAACTACAGCACATGTCAACCTGTGATCCTTCATAAGGTCTGCATGCAGTGCTCTAGACTGGGAATGGGCGACTGCTTCCTCTTTTTAAAACCGACACAGGGCCAGTAACTTCCAATACGAGAGTCATGGAAATAGAAAAGAGGCAGAACTTCCCTCCTGCACCTGCATGCAGCCCAGCAGAGAACTGATAGGGGCTCCTTGTGTTCTGGTCCTGAGCCCTGACAGCAGCAAACATGCTGCTCCTGAGCAAGGGATGAAACAGATGTGCCCTCTGCAGAGATCTCAGCTGCTGTGCTCAGCAGCCAGAACAGATACTTTATTTCTTTATTTGCTTTATCTGCTCCAGCCGAGCTTGGTTCAAAATTGTCCCTTGATTCAAAATTGGCTTTCCTGGTGACAGTCCAGTTCCTAGAAATGCTGAATTTACCCAAGAGAGTTAAAGTGGAAGGAATCCCCGCCAAAAGCCCGTGCGAGCGGTACTCACATGCTGGTGTACATCCGCTGGCCATTCTGCTGGTTCTGCAGGCGGGTTTTGGCCAGATCAATGGGAAACACGCAGGTGACCCCGATCAGCCCGGCTATCCCTCCATTGATCAGTTTGGCAGGTAAACTGTAAGGGAACGAGACACAGAGAAACAACTGTCTTAGCACTGGAATAATGTCAGGGGAAGGAAAAAGGAAAGAAAGGAGCTCTTTTGCATGACCAGAGTTAATACATCACTGTTCAGCAAGGCTGTCCCCCCTCAACACAAAGGGAGTTGTGCCTCAAGGCAAAGCCTGGCCCTTGCTGCACACACCAGGGAGGAGGGAAAGCAGCACACGGGATCAGGACAAACCACCGACGAGTGCAGTGGAGCCAAACAGCTAAGCCACACATGGCTAAGAGCAAGGACAAACCCTGCTCCTCAGGACCCAAGGGTTTCTGTTGTCCCCACGGGAGAAAAGCCAAAGCGCTGGACTGTCTACCGCATGGGCAGACTTCAGTTAGAGCCGGATGGCATCCCAGCCAGAGGGTTTACTGGCAAATGCTTTTCAGCACCGCAATCAGATATGCATCTAATGAGATGATGAGAGGTTCATGACACATCAGCTGCTGCTATCATGTGGGAGCGAGCACAGCAGCAGCTCCCAGTTGGCAGCCGAGGAGCAGACGGCTGCAGCTCCAGGAAACCGTTTCCAGACCCACCGCTCAGGGCAAGGGGAACACACACAAACCAACCGGCCGGTGAAACCACCAGACTGGCAGCCTGCATGGCCGCAGATGCAGAGACATGAGCTCATACCTCTTGGGGAAATCAAAATCTGTCTGGCTGCGTGTGCTTCCAAAACACGGGGCTTTTTCGACTCGCCTTTGGGTCCCCACAGGGAATTCTTGCAAGTGGTGCTGAGCGAAAGCCAGATCAGCTAAACAGGGGTTCCCAGAAAATTCAGTTACGAAAGATGTCCAGCACTTATATGCTCAATAAACCACTACACGCAGAGACAAAGGAAGCCTGTTGGAGTCAGCCCCCTCCAATAAAGCA